TCCCCCCCCCCCCCCCCCCCCATCTCTCTGATCTGCTACAACCGTAAGTCCCACCACGTTCCCTGAGGTCAGCGGACCAGTTGCTCCTCACAGTTCCAGGAACTCGTCTTAAGCGCAGAGGTGACAGGGCCTTCTCTGTAGCAGGACTAAGACTCTGGAACGAGTTACCTCTGCTTGTCAGACAGGCCCCCTCCCTCTCGGTTTTCAAGTCCCGTTTAAAAACTCGCTACTATTCAGTAGCTTTCAACTTCAGATGATCTATGTTTTGATCCTGTATGCTCCACACTGGTTTGTCGTCATTATCTGCATCGTTTTTATGTCTATATTCTGATTTACCTCATTTTGTATTTTGCTTTGTGTGTTACCTGTTGTTTTGTCCGTACAGCACTTTGGTTGGCCTTGTAGCTGTTTTAAGTGCTTTATAAATAAAGTGGTATGGTATGGTAAAGGAGGCCATCTTTGTAAAAAAAATTGTCCATCATTAAACAGGGGTGGAGGCCTCCAGGTTCAACTGTCCCCCTCTTACTATGCTGTTATTGCTAGTATCACTCAGCCTCCTGTGAATAGTAAACAGCCATCAGTGTGCTAATGATCCATTGTTAGGCTGATGGTCCTTCTTGACCATGTGATCAGCTGGTTTTGGTTGTCAGCAGCAAACTGGTTGATCCACTCTGAGAAGGTGCTATTTAAGAGACTGGGCTGAATACAGCACCTCAGACTGAGGAAGTCTCTCGGATGGGAGACGAAACGTTTCTACATTTTTTATTTTATTTTTATTTAATGTCCAGAGGACCAGATTGAACTTTTTTGGATATCGTGAACAAGCATAACCTGCTGCACATCCTTTCCAGCATGATCCCTCTGTCTTGCCAATCGATAAAAGTCCTTCTCGTCCTCTTTAATATTCAGCCTCCCATACAACTATTCGTACCTATATCATAGGTGTTTTACATTTGTGTAAGGTGTGTTACAGGTGTGTGACACTGGTGTCAGGTGTGTTACATGTGTGTTACATTCATGTCAGGTGTGTTAAAGGTGTGTTAAACTGGTGTCAGGTGTGTCACAGGTGGTGTCAGGTGTGTTACATAAGAGTCATGTGTGTTTCAGGTGTGTTACACTGTGTGTTACACATATGTCAGGTGTGTTTCAGGTGTGTTACACTGTGTGTTACACATATGTCAGGTGTGTTTCAGGTGTGTTACACTGTGTGTTACACGTGTCAGATGTGTTTCAGGTGTGTTACACAGGTGTCAGGTGTGTTACATGTGTTTTACACAGGTGTCAGGTGTGTTTCAGGTGTGTTACACTGGTGTCAGGTGTGTTACATGTGTGTTATACATGTGTCAGGTGTGTTTCAGGTGTGTTACACTGGTGTCAGGTGTGTTTCAGGTGTGTTACACTGGCGTCAAGTGTGTTACAGGTGTGTTACAATGTGATGGCTCTGTTACAGCAGGTGCTTTATTCTGATGTATCAGTGGCGTGTTTTAAAAACGTCTGATGCATGTTTCAGGCCCATCAAGACTTTGTGAAAAAAGTGAGCAAGAACAAGTCAAGCCCACAGAACTCTGCTCGGTTCTGAATGGGTGGGATGGTTTCCATGGTGACTGTCTTTAATTAGAAGGGCAATTAAAGAGGTTGAACAACCCACAAAAAGACACACACACACTCAGTTCTCTCTGAGGAAGGCGAGGTATCTGGTCTTCTTATCCACAATCCACTGGACTGATTTGTCTTGAAAGAGGTCACTACACTGTTCTCTGCTCAGCTGTTCAGGTTCTATTGTCTAAAACACATGAAGCTACAAGCAAAACATGTCTTTTCCACGCAGCAGCTCCTCTTGAAGGCTGAAGATCTACATTGTGTGTGTGTGTGTGTGTGTGTGTGTGTGTGTGTGTGTGTGTGTGTGTGTGTGTGTGATTTTATTTGCCTGGTTCCCATCAGACAGAATAGAAACCTACGTACCCTCAGATGGGTCCAATCTCCTGGCTCGGCGGCCATGTTTGGAATTGTTGTGTACGAACATGTTGTCAGAGACGGCGAGAACATGACCATCTACGTTGACTGTTGTTGAAACCACCACCTAAAAAAAAAAAAAAAAATACTTTATTTACACTTGCCAAAGAACAAGATGTTGTTGCTCTGCCATGTTGGGACCAATCATTTCCTTGTTGATATAACAAAGTTGTTGCTGTTAGGTGGTGAAGACGGAGCAGACAACATAGACAGCTGATAGACATGACTAACCAGAGCATCTGTCACTCTGCTGTCACTATGGCAACTGGAGATAAACCTACAAGCTTCACCTGTCTTCACCTGCCTCGCTGGTCTGATGAGTGCAGTTCACTCTGCCCACTTGAACTTCCTGTCAGGCTGAGCAGCGTGGCATAGAGTCGACTGTCTTATGAGGATCCATCCTTCACTTCCAGCTGCAGCAGCAGCTTCTGCACACACCTGTAAGGTGATTAAATACTGACTTACTGCTTCCCCTGGGAGCTGATTGGCTACAAAATTGTTCTCAGTATTTATTCAGAAGAGGAGGAGCCAACAGGAAGTAAAACATTTAAAGCTAGTTGTGACTGGTTGAACTGTTGTAAAATGGAAAGAAAATGAAACCGTGAAAGTATCATCTGCTGCAACCTCCCTCTCCAAGATGGCCGTCAATCAGCACCACCTGATGGTCATCTAACTGATGAGGTCCTGCTCTACATAAGGATGCAGTCAGATGTTACTTGTCGCTGAAGCATTAGCCATTGATGATACACTTTGTCTCTGGCCTATGTTTGCATCTTGTGCTAAGATACTCAAACCCTTTCTTGCGATTTCAGTTTACCTGCCTCCTTGGATCCTGCCATGCCTTGGTTCTCCTTCGGTCCCCCTCCTGGTTCCTCGTGCCTTGCCTTCTAGCCACACGCCTGTTTGCCTTCTTCTCTGGAGCCCGTTTTGGATAACCCTCGGCAATCCTCCAACCTGTAAGATAAAACTATTGGATCAATATCTTCACATCCATATTCTCCAACCAGAGCCACCTGACCCTCTCCTTCCTCCTCAGGGCTCCAGTTGATCTACTGTCCATTAACCAACACTGTACATACATAAACACTGTTATTTTGAATTCCTGAGTCTTGCCTCATTTTCCTGGTCTCGTATCACTCTGGGTTCCCTGAGTCATAACAGACATGCTCTGGCCAAATAAGACACAGAACGAGACCATGGACGAGCAAACTCCCTCTTCCCAGGTGGAGCACATTAACAAATTAGAGGAGGTACTTCAACAAGTCCTCACACAACAACTAACTTCTCAGAAGAACATACAGGAGCTCAGACGTATGGTTTTCTTTATAAATCAAAAACTCGCCTCTTCTCCCCATGCAGCCTTCTCCGTTTCACCAATGCCAAGTCCTCCCAGGATGGAACCTGACTCTGATACCTCATCCCAGCGGGTAATAGTTAAACCTTCTGAATATTTCACAGGAGACCCTGACCACTGTGGGGGTTCCTCCTCCAGTGTAAGCTTGTATTCAAAGGAGCTCCCCAACTCTACGTTACAAGTTTCACCAAGATCACCTACTTCGTCAGTCAGCTCAAGGGCAACACTCTCCGGTGGGCCAATTCATATTTACATTCCCATGACCTGAATTCTGTGCTTTTTGAATTGTTTCTGAAGGAGTTTCAAAGGATTTTCAACTGTCCACTTCGAGAACCCAATGTCGTAAAACGACTCATAGGATTACGTCAGGGCTGATGACCTGTCACAGAACACGCTCTCGAGGTCCGCATCCTCGCTGCTCAGACAACTTCGAACGAATCTGCCTTACAAGGTACCTTTTTGAACTCCCTGTCTGAACTTATTAAGGACCAAATTGCAGCTCGGGACGAGCCAGAGGGGTTTGATGAACTCGTGGACCTGGCGGTCACCATTGACAAGCGCTCCTGGGAGCGCAAGAGAGAAAAGGACTAGAACACCCAGAATCCCTCCACTTCCGGATTCACCATGTCATTAGGTGAGCGTCACACATACAAACCCCCAATTATAAACTACAAGTCCCAGGTGCCCGACACTTCCAGGTTTAAAAATCCCCAATTGGGTCTGTTCATCCTGGAGGTGGCTGCTTTCGACAATGGAGTGGGGGCAGTCTTGTCTCAACAGTTCCCCAGTGACAACAAGGCAAACCTGTGCTCTTTTTTTCTCACACCGTCTTTCACAGGCAGAGAGGAAGTATGACGTGGGAAACCGAGAACTGCTGGCAGTCAAGTTAGCCCTGGAGGAGTGACGTCACTGGCATGAAGGCACCGAGACACCCTATCTGATCTGAACTGACCACAAAAACCTGACCTATCCCTGGGATGCTAAACGCCTTACCCCCAGGCAAGCATGCTAGTCACTGTTTTTCAATTGTCTCAACTACTCTCTCACTTTCAGGCCCGGCTCCAAAAACATTAAACCCAATGCTCTCTCCTGTCAGTTTTCTCCCCCTGATGTCATTGAACAGGAAGACAGCATCATCCCTTCATCCTGCATTTTTGGGGCCCTCACATGGCCTATAGAGGGAGAGGTCCGAGAAGCTCACAAGGATGAACCCGACCCTGGTTCTGGTCCCCCCGGGACTCTCTTCGTTAACACGTCCATGAGGTCTAAGGTATTAGACTGGTTGCACTCTAATAAACTGTCCTGTCACCCTGGCACCTCTCGTATGCTTTCCCTTGCTAAGACTCACTTTTGGTGGCCCACAATCAACGCAGATACCATACCATACCAATTCATTTCTAAAGCACTTAAAATACAACAAGCAGCCATACGAAGTGCTGTACAAAATTGAAAACAAACAAAAAACAGTAAAACAATAAAAACACCTAAATATATATTAAAAATATCAGAACATCATAAGTAAAAGAATACAACATTAAGACACTGATGCTAACTCACTCTAGGTTAAAAGCCAATGAAAAAAAAGTGTTTTTAAACGAGTTTTAAAAACAGAAAGTGACGGGGCCTGCCTGACCTCCAGCTGCAGCTCATTCCACAATTTAGGAGCCAGAGCTGAAAAGGCTCTGTCTCCTCTGGTTTTATAAAAGGTTTTCGGGACTGCTAAAAGCATCTGGTCAGAGGATCTAAGAACACGTGATGGCATGTAAAAGTGAAGCAGTTCAGACAAATAAGAACTAAGACTGTTCAAAGACTTAAAAACAAACAATAGAACTTTAAAATGGATTTGAAACTGTACAGGAAGCCAATGAAGGGACATCAGAACTGGAGTGATGTGCTCACGCCTGCCTGTACCAGTCAAAAATCGTGCAGCAGCATTTTGTACCAGCTGTAACCGTGAGAGGGAGGCCTGGCTAACTCCTATCAACAGAGTTACAATAATCCAGGTGTGAAGTAATAAAAGTGTGGACTACTGTCTCTAAGTGGTGTCTAGAAAGGAGGGGCTTGATTTTTGACTGGCGCCTCAGCTGAAAGAAAGAGGACTTAACCACAATGTTGACATGGCAGTCAGCAATGAGGTTAAGTAAAGTCAGATGTAAAGTCCTTCGTCGTAGCTTGTTCTGCATGCACCAGAAACAAGACTGGTAACCAACCTCCTGCCAGTCTCCTCCTTCCCCTTCCAACGCCCTGCCATCCATTGTCCCACATCTTGGTGGACTTCATCACGGGTCTACCCCCATTGGATGGTAACACCACTATTCTCACTGTTCTTGATAGGTTCTCTAAGGCGGCACATTTTATCCCCCTCCCCAAGCTCCACTCCACCTTTGAGACCGCCCTTCTCCTCGTGCAATATGTTTTCAGAATTCATGGAATCTCGTCTGATGTGGTTTCGGACTGAGGATCACAATTCATCTCCAAAGTCTGGCGCTGTTTCTGCCAGACCCTGGAGGCCTCCTCCAGTCTTCACTTTAGGGTATCACCCCCAATCCAACGGCCAGACGAAGTGATCCAATCAGTAGCTCAAGGCCACACTCCAGTGCATAGTGGAGAGGAACCCATCTGCCTGGAGTAAACATCTGGTCTGGGTCGAGTACACCCACAACACCCATAAATCTGCTGTTACAGGTATGTCCCTGTTTGAGGCCTCCCTTTATCTATCCCCCTTGTTTCACAGTCAGGAGAATGACACTATAGAGTTATTGCTTCAACAACACTTTTGTCATTGTCGATGCATCTGGCACCAAACCAAGGCAGCTTTACTTCGCACTGCAGCTCAAACCAAGAAGTTCACTGACCGCCGTTGCTCTTCAGCACCCAGTTACCAGGTAGGCCAAAAGGTTTGGCTTTTCACATGCAATATAAAACTGAAAAATACTCCTAGGAAACTGGCTCCCTGTTTCATGGGTCCCTTCCCGGTCCTCAAAATCATCAGTTCCTCTACTGTGAAGCTTCAACTCCCTGTGTCCCTGAAGATCCACCCCACCTTCCATGTCTCCCAAATCAAGCCTGTCTCTGCCAGTCCTCTGTGCCCACCTACCGACCTACCTCCGCCCATCTAACTGATTGACAACCACCTTGCCTTCACGGTAGGGTCCATCCTGAACGTCTGACGTCGTGGTAGGGGCTTTCAATATCTGGTCGACTAGGAGGGCTACGGGCCAGAAGAACAATCGTGGATCCCCTGCTCATTCATTATGGACCTGAGTCTCATCAAGGCCTTCTTCAGATAGCACTCTGAAAAACACCTTAGGTTGCCTGGAGGTGATTCTTGGTGTGTGTGGGGTGGGGGGGGGGGGGGGGGGGGCACTGTGAGAGTACCATCTGCTGCAACCTCCCTCTTCAAGATGGCTGCCAATCAGCACCACCTGATGGTCATCTAACTGATGAGGTCCTGCTCTACACAAGGCTGCAGTCAGATGTTACTCGTCGCCAGAGCATTAGCCATTGATTGTACACTTTGTCTCTGGCCTATGTATCTTGTGCTAAGATACCCAAACCCTTTCTTGTGATTTCAGCTTACCTGCATCCTTGGTTCTCCTTCGGTCCCTCTCCTGGTTCCTCGTGCCTTGCCTTCCAGCCACACACCTGTTCACCTTCTTCTCTGGTGCCCGTTTTGAATAAACCTCGGCTATCCTCCAACCTGTAAGATAAAA